TAAACCCTAAACCCTGAACCCAAGGGTTTCGGCCTTAGGGCCTGAACCCTAAAACCCTAAACTCACAACCCTTAAACCCCAAAAAGCCCTAAATCGGTTTAGGGTTTAGGGTTTAGGGTTAGGGTTTAGGGTTTAGGGTTTAGAGTTTAGGGGTTTGGGTTTATGGGGTTTAGGGTTTAAGGTTTTCAAAAACCACAAAACCTAGCCCTAGGCCCTAAACCCTAAACCTGAACAGTTTCGCGTCGGGAGTTCAGACTTGTGCGACGTGGCATTTCAAAGTCAAGGCTTCTTCAATCGCACACATCTTCGCCTGTAGCTTTCAGGTTTGGGGTTTAGGTAGGTAGTATTATTAGGGGTCCCCTTAAAGGGTACCCTATTTAGAAATAAACCCTGAACACTCGCAAAACCTGAGCCTGAAGCCCAAGGCAGCACGTCGAGAATCGGCCATTAAATTTATATTTCAACACTCATGTGGAAGCTCTTTAAGCTCATAATCTAATCTTACGGATAGTGTGGCCACCTTGCTTTGGGATCCATATAGTAAGGAAGCTACTACCATCCAGAATCCAGTGTCTATACAAGGTCCCTAAACCCTAAACCCTAAACCCTAAACCCTGAACCCTAAACCCTAAACCCCTAAACCCCTAAACCCTGATCTTCTGAAACTCGCACATGTTTCCGCAGGTGTATGTTCGCAACACCCAGACACAAAACCTGAGCCCCAAAACCAAAAACCCCGAACCCTAAACCCCAAACTCCAGTCCCTAAAACTCCCAAACCCGATAGTAGAGCCCCTAAAGGACCACCAAAGGAACAGTTTAACGAAACGAGGGCTTACATAGCGAAGTCATGAAAAGTTTTGTAGGGTCAAGGTAATCCTTTAAGCCCAATACCCTGGCCCAAAAAAGTCTCAACTTTTCTTTTAGTAGGGGTTTCATATACCAAAAAAGTTTAAAGTTCGCTTATTGGGCTCCTAAGTAATCCCTAAACCTATACAGCCCGGCGGCCAGCGATGCTAGCGAGGCGATAAGAAGAGCCGGGCCGAGGCTGTCTGACAAATGCCCACGAACGAAGGTGTGTTTTGTGGCTGGGTTTGGGGTTTGGGGTTTAGGGTTTAGGGTTTGGGGTTTAGGGTTTGGGGTTTAGGGTTTAGGGTTTAGGGTTTAGGGCTTAGGGTTTTGGGTTGGCTGGCTTAGAGCTTTGGATTTCAGCACCTGGGTTGCTTTGCGCTAGCGGCTTCACGGCTGCTGGCTGGTGCTGTCCTTGTGGCTGCGCTTTGTGGGTTTCGCAAGAAAGCCGTAGGCTTCGGGAGGCTCTACACCAGTTATCGATAGATGGCCTCGGCTTAAAACTTCGCCAAAAAGCCCCGTGCCCTCTATTCAAGGAACATCCCTAAACCCTAAACCCCCAACTCGCACATTAGAGAGAGAGAGAGAGAGAGCGCTTGAATGCGATGTACTTGTGCGTTGCTCAGTGGCCTCGTGCTGGCTTTTGGGAGCTAGAATTGTGCTGGGGACCCGAGGTTATTCAGTGAACTTTCTTCTTATGACGATTACAACCATTTCTGCTTCTGCAAATGCTGCTACTGATGCTTCTGCGATCACGAGTACTATGTCTATCACGGTTATGTCACTATCAATAACGCGCATGTCACTATCACTACCACGATCACTCTCACTATCAGCCCCACTAATACTTTTGCGACTACGAGTAGTAGTTTCTGGTGCTTTTGCTATTACTAGCGCTTTTGTCATTACCATTTCAATAAAGCTTGTTCCATGGCAAGTGCTCTTAAATAGTATTGCTAATTATTACTTTTTTAGTATTAGGAAGTACCAAGTTACTAAATCTCTTGCAGTTATGAGCTTTACTCGGCCCATGCCCAAACTCAATCCCAAGCGCCCCAAACACACCCGGCAGCAACAGCCCCGCTGACTGTTAAAACTCCAAATCCTTACAGAACCCGTGAGAGTCTTGCCAAACCCCAAACCCGACCCGAAGCCAAGAAACACAAAAAAAAGCCTAAACCCTAAACCCTAAACCCTAAACCAAACTTACATCAGCTCGAACACCGCGCTCCTGCCTCCCCAAGGGCCGACATAGTGCCTGGGTGAAGTTGTCCGTCTAAGGCTTAAGGGCCTAAGGGCTTGAATTAGGGATGGGATTTAGGGCTTAAGGCTTAGGGTTTAGGGTTTAGGGCTCATAGGGCTTGTAGGGTTTATAGGGTTTAGGGCTTAAGGCTTAAAAGGCTTACAGGTGCTTTGATGGTGCTGTGGCCGTGGCGGTAAGGAGCTGAGGTCGGAACTTAGCTTCCGCAGATGACTGGTTCCCTGTTGGGGCTATATTAAAAATGTTCATGTGTAATCCTTACTGGGCTCTATTATGACAAAAATTTATGTTTAATCCTTATTGGGTTTTATTATGACAAAATTTTAAAACTATGTCCAACAAGGACCCAGATGAGAGGCTGTTTGCATGCCTGGGTCGTGGGGAGTTTCCCCTTAACCCGTTTAGGGTGTAGGGGTTTAGGGTTTAGGGTTTATGAAGCCTAATTTAGGTTTTAGGGTTTAGGGTTTATGAAGCCTAATTTAGGGTTTAGGGTTTAGGGTTTATGAAGCCTAATTTAGGGTTTAGGGTTTATGAAGCCTAAACAGAAAATGAGGCATCCCCAGCGGCCCCAAAATGGAGACCCAAACTGAAAGCATCCGGTTTAGGGTTTAGGGTTTAGGGTTTAGGGCATCCTTCTTCTAACCTCCATGCAAGGGAAGCCCAGCATTTTAAAACCTCACAAACCCCTAGAAACACAGTTCAATGAACCAACCTTAAACCCCAAACCGGTATATGGTATACATAACCCTGTAAGGAAAATATCTCTGACCTCGGAATCCGATCGTGGCATCTCCGAAAGAGGCGCTCGTTCTTTCCTCTACCCCTCTTCGTAGATCGCTTTTCTTTGGTTCAGGGTTTGTAAGGTTTAGGGGTTGTGCCTGGTTCGGGTTTGCTAATGCCGTGCTGAACCTGAAAACCATTACCCAGAAACTCCCTACAGAGCCTAAACATCGCCCAAACCTTACACTTACCACGGAATTCCACGCCCAAACCGAAGCCTAGACTTTAGGATTCATAGAAGGTCTTACGGCTCAGATGAGAGTTTAAACAACTGAGTAGGGTTCAGGGTTCAGGGTTCAGGGTTAAGGGTTTAGGGTTTAGGGTTGAGTTTAGAACTCCAAGGATGCCGATCCTTGTTGCAGGTCAGAATCCCGATGATGAACAAGAATGGTTTAGGGTTTAGGGTTTAGGGTTCCTGAAGCTTCCAGTCCGCGCCTACCCCCTGTATACAGTAGCCGGGTCACCTTATCTTGCATCCAGGCACGGATGACTTAGATAGCAAGAAGTACTTATCTTATAAGTTTCCCAGCTGATGTAAACACCCTCAACCCTCTGCTCCCCTAAACCCTAAGCCCTAAACACCCTCAACCCTCAACTCCCTGCCGCAGCAGGGGCCACTCGAGGAAGGGCATCGAGTAGCCCCAGCGAGAACTGCAGAGGAGCCAGAAAGGGACGAGCATTCGCACCTGGGAGTCTTAGAGATCTGAGGGTGCCGCCTTGGAGCTTCAGAGACCCTAAACCCTAAACCCCCTAAACCCAAACCCTAAACCCTAAACCCTAAACCCTAAGCCCTAAACCCCCTAAACCCTAAACCCTACACCCCCCAAACCCAAACCCTAAACCCTAAACCCTAAACTGTGTAGGAGTTTAGGGTTGAGGGGGCCCGTAAGCTGCAGGATCAAAACCCCCCTGTACCCCCATATATACCAGAAACCCCAAACCCTGAACCACCGGACTTCCCTGAGTTTCATCCCACCTCCTTTGGCCGGTATAGTATAAGAACAGAATTCTATGCCCCAAACCCTAAACTCCTAAACCCTAAACCCCGAAACTTCAGGAATCCTCTCGGACGGTACTACTCACTTGTCAGGCTCCGGTTGCTCCTGCCGTCGACCCTACTAATTCCGAGTACCTTACCCTATTTCACAGTTTGGAATTCAGGTTTAGGGTTCAGGGTTTAGAGTTTAGGGTTTAGGGTGTAGGCTTTATGTGCTAAGGGTCCAAAGGACCTAATAATCATGTACTCGGGTTGCGGATAGTAGTTTTGTAGGTTAGTATTCAGAAGAGTACATGAGCATAAAGTACTTGGACCCCTAGGGTTACCCTATTTCACAGCTTTCATACGATAGCATTCTCATCATGAAACAAGTTGTCTCACCCTAAACCCTAAAGCCGTGGAGTTATCTCCAAGAAGGAACCACAATCTAACCAACCCTAAACCCTAAACCCCTAAACCCTAAACCCTAGGTCTTGACATTGGGGCTTAGGGTTCAGGGTCAGGGACATAGTGGTAAAAGCGCTCCGGTAAGCTTGACTTACTAGGGTTTAGGGCTTCGGGTTGAGGCCTTGGGGCTGTGGGTTGAGGGCTTAGGGCTTAGGGTTTCAGGGTTTAGGGTTTCAGGGTTTGGTGATTGGGGTCTCTGCGGCTAGTCACTAAACCAACCCCTTCAAGTCCCTGTTGACGGAAACAGGCCTAAAAACCCTAAACCCTGAACCCTAAACCCTAAACCCTGAACCCTGAACCCTAAACCCTAAAACCTGAACCCTAAACACAGAAGCTCTTCTCCCCAAAGCCCGAGCCTGCTAAGCCCTAAGCCCTTCGTGATCCCAGTCTCGGGCCCCCAAACCTAAATCCTAAGCCTAAGCCTCCAGGTCCTTAGTATATAGGGCCATAAAGGCTCTCTAGTACCCTCTATAGTAGGCACTTGGAGGGTTAAGGCAAATCCAAACAAAAATGGGACCCTAATTTAGAGAACTACCCATATAGGGCCCTAGAGGCTCTAGTACCCTCTATAGTAGGCACTTGGAGGGTTGAGGCAAATCCAAACAAAAAACGATATCCTGGAAGCCACGTGGCTAGCGCCAGCGATGGTCTCTGCCCACTCCGATCCCAGTCCTTAACACTTCAATACCCAGGCACCAAAAGGGGCGGTGTAGGGTTTAGGGTTTAGGATTTAGGGTTTAGGGTTTAGGATTTAGGGTTGAGGGTTTAGGATTTAGGGTTTAGGGTTTAGGGGTTCGGGGCTCAAAGCCCAAGGAGCAAGAGGAATATGGGGTCTAGGGCTCCAGAGCTTGTGGGCTCAGGGCTCGTGTTTAAGGGTTGGGGCTTAATGGGGGTGAGGGCTTAGGTTTAGGGCTTAGGGTTTAGTGTTTAGGGTTTAGAGTTTAGGATGGCTTTAAGATTTTACACATCCCTCGTACGGGTTAGGGCGGCTTAAAGGGGGGTCAGGGTTTACAAGTCAAGAAAACCATCAGTTAGTGGTCGTGCACGGGTTGGGACGAGGGGACATGTCAGGTCAATCGCAACTTTGGGGTCCAGGGTAATGTAGGGACCTTAATAATTAGAATGGGGTTTTGGGGCCCATTCTATTATAATTATAACAAGGAACCCCCCAAAATACAATATAGGTATAATAATTTAGGCCCCTACATCATCCTTCATGTCTTTCCACATCCTTCTCCTCCTGCAGCCCCGTTAGAAAGTGCCTCTGAGCTTAAACGTCATGGCCTGAAGTTCCGGGAATTTACATTTGAATACGACCCCTCAAGGGGGTTTAGGGTTTAGGGTTTAGGCAAGGGGGCGAACCCCTGAACGCCTAAACCCGAAGCCCTGAACCCTAATGATTGAAATCCCTCAACCCTAAACCCCTAAGCCC